GTACACTTTTTCAACATCTGAACCTCCAAAAATGGTCCGAACCCCTGGTGTTTTGGACATTTTGACTTGGACATGTGCTTCGCGCCACAACGACGGGCACTTTCTCAACATCTCAACTTCCAAAAGTGGTCCGGAGCTGAGGTGTTCTGGACATTTTGACTTCGAAATGTGCTTCGCGCCACAACGGCGTGCACTTTTTCGACATCTGAACCTCCAAAAGTGGCGCGAACATGTGGTGCTTTGTACATTTTGACTTCGAAATGTGCTTCGCGCCACAATGGCGTGCACTTTTTCGACATCGCAACTTCCAAAAGTGGTCCGAGACCGCCAGTTTTTAACACTTTTGACTTCGAAATGCGCTTCGCGCCACAACGGCGTGCACTTTTTTGACATCTCAACTTCCAAAATTGGTCCGAGAATGGTGTGCTTTGTACATTTTCACTTGGAAATGTGCTTCGCGCCACAACGGCGTGCAATTTTTCATCTCTCCTCTGGCCAGCTGGCTCCGCACCCGCCGCTTTAGCGAGCCTACTTTTCGACCCTCCAGAGCCACAAATCATTGGAAAAACCCAGTGTTTCGCGACTTTCCTACCTTTTCGCGCATCTGTATCTTCTGTCTTTTACTCTTTTTCTGATCTTCTCTCTGCTAATCTTCCTCTTCTCTCTGCCTCTGCCCTGCTCTGCTTTTCATCTCTCCATATTGTCGGAAGTTTGACTTCTAAACTTCCTTCGATTAGATTATTTGATTATGTCAGTCATGATTAATTTATGATTATTTGATGTTATTTGCATTGGGTAAAGGACGGCTTTCATCCTGCGTGGTGAGCAGCGAGATGTCTCTGTGAGGCTCAGCCTTGAAGGCTGCTGTGGTTGACCCTCACTCAGTCGTAGAAAGAAAGCAGAAAGAGAAGAACGAAAAAAGAACGAAAATTCAAAGAAAAGAACCAACGAGGAGTTGTTTGTGCAGCAACTTTCTCACAAGACAAAGATGCGACTTTCGGGATTGAAGGGCATCTCTGTTCAGCCAGTGCGACAAAGGTGCGGCAAATTGGGAAATGTATTTGTCTTTTTGAAACAGAACGGCTGAGATGTTCATTCTCCGTTTGGTCCTTCCTCAATTTTTTGGCCATCAAGGTTCAGACACCAGCAACTCCGACGCAAGGCAGATCTGCAGGTGCCAAAGTCACAAGCTCCCAGCTGTGTCAGATAGGACAGACTCATTGTGATGAATGTATCGAAATCAGACGAAATCATGAAAATACAAAGAGTTCATCAAACCTGCCGAGATGAATTGAAACCAGAGGGAACCTTCAGAAAGGGCAGTATCTCTTTGCAAAACCGTCCAGGTGAAGTGTCGCAATTGGCCTTCCAGGTTCAGATTTCGAAAGATTAGGGGGTCAGTGCGGCTGTTGCTTTCGACATATTGAACTTCCCATTTTTTGTTTCGTAAAAAATGGTTCGCTGCTACTTTGGCTTTCTATTTCTTCATCATTTGTCAGGCAGAAGCCTCAAAGGCCCGAAGTCTGAAGCTTTGACCACTCACTCAACCAGTTCCAACCTTTCGAACTGCGACATTTTCAGGACTGGAACTTCAGACTGGATTTGTTCGCATTCGTTTGCATTCGTTCTCCAAGGTGATCCCGCAAAGAAAGGAAAGCTTAGTCAAGGTCCACGTCAGGCAGCCAAGGCTGGGAACGCAAACTGCAAGTCCGACATCCTGTGACGGCGCGATCGGATCATTTTCCTGTCGTTTTTGCAGGCTGACTCGCCAGCTTCCGTGCCAACCACAACACAGGATCACAGGCAGATTGCATACTGAGTTTAGCCAGAAAAGATTTCAGGAAAATTTTGCAGTTTCAACGTGGAATTCGTTGCAGGCCACAGCGGAAAGCCAAAGCAAAGTCGCGGAGTGCAAAACAACCCAAATAGCAAAAAGATTCAATGAAATTGCGAAGAGGTTCTGAAAGAAAACACACGAAGGTTTTTTGTGAGCATGCAAAATGCGGGTTCAAAAATAAATTCTCTAAAAAGCAAAAAGTCCAATATCTTTGATTTCTCGGCAACTACAGGTGGGATCCTTTTCAGGTTCACGACCAGCTGCTGCTTTCTCAGCAGCCCTTAACAATAATTGTCACAAGACCTGGAAAAAACGAAACATGCTTGCAGGCTGCTTAAGGGCTACATTCCCAAAAGTACCGGCGAAGGATTCCTTCCAAAGAGCGGCTACCAAAATACATCATTGTCGAAGGAAGTTTAGAAGCTATACTTCCGACAATATGGACAGTTGAAAAGCAGAGGTGAGAAGAGTCAGAAGAGACAAGATCAGAAGAAAGAAGAGGTAGATGCGCGAAAAGATAGCAAAGTCGCGATTCACTGTGTTTTTCAGATGATTTGTGGCTCCGGAGGGTCGAAAAGTAGGCTCGCTAAAGCGGCGGGTGCGGAGCCAGCTGGCCAGATGAGACATGAAAAAGTGCACGCCGTTGTGGCGCGAAGCACATTTCCAAGTCAAAATGGACAAAACACTAGAGGAGCGGACCACTTTTGGAAGTTGAGATGTCGAAAAAGTGCACGCCGTTGTGGCGCGAAGCACATTTCCAAGTCAAAATGTACAAAACACCGCAACCTCGGACCACTTTTGGAAGTTGAGATGTCGAAAAAGTGCACGCCGTTGTGGCGCGAAGCACATTTCCAAGTCAAAATGTACAAAACACCGCAACCTCGGACCACTTTTGGAAGTTGAGATGTTGAAAAAGTGCACGCCGTTGTGGCGCGAAGCACATTTCCAAGTCAAAATGTACAAAACACCGCAACCTCGGACCACTTTTGGAAGTTGAGATGTTGAAAAAGTGCACGCCGTTGTGGCGCGAAGCACATTTCCAAGTCAAAATGTTAAAAACACTAGGGGTTCGGACCACTTTTGGAGGTTCAGATGTCGAAAAAGTGTCGAAAAAGTGCACGCCGTTGTGGCGCGAAGCACATTTCGAAGTCAAAAGTGTAAAAAACTGAGGGTTTTGAGCCTTTTTTGACGTGAAGATGTCGAAAAAGTAGACACTGATTAACTTAACTAACTTGACTAACTTAACTAACTTCACTAACTTAACTACCCTAACTTCGACGACAACAGCAACAACAACAACAACAACAACAACAACGCCAACCACAACAACTACAACTACAACTACAACAACTACACAACAACTACAACTAGAACTACAACTACAACAGCTACAACAACAACAACAACAACAGCAACAGCAACAGCAACAACAACTACAACTACAACTACAACAACTACAACTACAACTACAACTACAACAACAGCAACAACAACTACAACAACAACTACTACAACTACAACTACAACTACAACTACAACAACAGCAACAACAACAACAACTACAACTACAACAACTACAACAACAACTACTACTACTACTACTACAACTACACTACACAACAACTACAACCACACAACAACTACAACTACAACAACTACAACTACAACTACAAAACAACTACAGCTACAACCATATGACTGCAACTACACTACACTAATTACATTACACCACAGCTACAACTCCACTACGCTACAACTACAACTACAGTTGCAGTACATCACACTACATGCAGCAGTTGTGGGTGAGGTGACCACTGCAACCATTGCAACCATTCCAGCAAACACAACTCCAACCACCTTTCGGTCAATCAGTGGCTTCGCTCTGCCATCCCTGATTCACAACAACCAACTTCTCCTATAGGTTTCCTATTTTTGAAACTTTCGCCACCGCCTTGTGCGGTACTACTGGTTATCCGAAGGAAGTTTAGAAGTCAAACTTCCGACAATAAGGACAGATGAAAAGCAGAGCAGGGCAGAGGCAGAGAGAAGAGAAAGATTAGAAGAGAGAAGATCAGAGAAGAGAAAGAGTTAGAAAGAAGATGCAGGCGCGCGAAAAGTAGACAAGGCGCGGAGCATTGTGTTTTTCCAATGTTTTGTGGCCCCAGAGGGTCGAAAAGTAGGCTCGCTAAAGCGGCGGTGCGGAGCCATCTGGTCAAATGAAAGATGAAAAATTGCTAGTAACTTTCGAAATCGAAATAATCAAAATACTTCACCATCGTGGCGCTTTTGGCAGTGAAAGTGGTGCGAAGTATATGTGGAAATCAAAGTCCGCAAAACCCACCATTCTCGGAACATTGGACGAAAAAATGAATGCAGTTGTGAATGTGTTTCGAAAACAAAATGCACGCACCACTGAGGGAATTCTACTTCAGAAAAATATTTTTTTTGTTTATTCATTTAATATTATATCAGTAGTACCACACAAGGCGGTGGCGGAAGTGCGGAAGTTTCAGAAATAGGAAGCCTATTGGAGAGGTTGGTTGTTGAGAATTACGGATGGCAGAGCGAAGCCACCGATGGACCGACAGGTAATTGAGGTCTTGTCTCTTTTTTTTCTTTTTCTGACTATCTACCTACCTATCTGTCTATCTATCTATCCATCCATTTAGCACCTGTCACACAAAATTATCTCAGCAAACCTGAAGATCTACTGCTCCAAAATGCAACCCCTCTTAGGAAATCAGCGTCCGGACCTCTAATAGCTCTGATGAACATGTCTCCTGTATTACAGCTGTTACGGAAATTATATCTTTTGCAGATATCTATTTATCTATGTGAATGCATGTGCTTGGCATGGATGATCATTGACTGAGGTGTAGATTCCGCGGTTATTTGGCTTCTGAGGCCTAAGCCACTTCGCCACGTGTGAAAAGGTGCCATGGCTTAAGCTTCGTTTTGTCGTTGCAGCTGCCTGTCATCTGACAGTGGTACTCGGAGCTTTGGTGCGATCTTTTTGGGCCACTGCGCAACTTCGATCCCTAGCATTGCACGTCCCTTGTTGCTTGGTTGGTGTCGGCCGCATTGATTTGGCAGCTGGGCGTTTCACGAATCCCAGAATTCACTTTTTGTTTTTGATTTCACCCATACCTCAATCATCCACCAAATGGCTGAAGATGACAAAGGGTATGGACCTTGGAGCAGGGTTCCTGGATGGGACGGATCCCCATTGAGCTGGCTGCGATTCAAGCGGGATGTCACATGGTGGTTGAGCAGTTTGGATCTTTCGAAGACAACTGGCTACAACCTTGCCGCTCATTTTCTCCTTAGACAAGAAGGTGTGGCACGACAGCGCGGCGAAGAATTTAGTCCGGATGAGCTGGCATTTGTTCCTCCCCCGAAGATAGTCGACCCCTTGACTGGTGAGCAATTGGATGATCCCGATGCCGTGCCCGACTATTTGGTTGGAGTGAACAAATTGTTGAAAGCTTGGGAAGAAATGACTGGCCGCACTGCCTTGGATAAACGAGGTGAACTTCGTCAGGCCTTCTACATGGACCTTAGCAGAAAAGCTGGCGAGCGAGTGAGTGAGTTTGGCACTCGCTATCGCTCATTGGTGGCTGATCTCAAAGGAGAAGGAGTCATTGTGGGCGATGCCGAGCTCGGTGGGTGGCTCAGACAGAAGATCGGCTTGGATCCTTTGCGAAAACAGCTGCTGGAAACTGCCTTGCAAGGCAGTGAGGACTACTCGGTAATTGAGGCCGAGATTTTGCGCCTTTTCAGAGATCTGCATGACAATGATCCATTGTATCGGCGACCTGAGAATCGACCGCCTTTGACGATTCGCAGGATGTTTGGTGGCAGATCTGCATCAGCTACATCGTCGGCTCCATCGACGCTTTCAAGAATGACTTCAGCGTCCTCTTGGCAGAGACCTTCTTCGATGAAATCTGGCACTTCAACGCGTCAGGTCAACATCACTGAGAATCCTGACGAAGAAGCAGCCGTGGAGGAGGAGTTGCATGATGAAGCTGAGGGGCAAGATGGTCCTTCCTCTTCACTGGAGGAAATCCTGCAGACTGAGGCCGAGGTGCTTGCGGCTGAATTGCATGAAGCTGAACTAGAAGGTGTCGATCCCTCAGTGCTTGATTCCTTGGAGAGCGGCATCGAGCAAGCTGCTGAGACCCTGGTGACAATGAGGGAGGCTCGACATCAGCTGCAGTCGGTTCGCAAGGACCGTGGATATGGCAAGTCTGATGGATCGACTTTCAAGCATAGCGGCAGCTCTCAAGTGGCCAATCGAAAAGCTTCTGGAAAATTCCCCTGCTATGACTGTGGCGAGAACGGCCACTGGGCCGGTGATGCTGCTTGTAAGAAACCTGGTCAAGGACTTGGAAAGAAGAAGAATGATGGTCGCAGGCCTTTGCGACAGGTTCGAGTTGCAGAACATGAAAGCTGTGCGTCTTCTCATGCCTCGCCTGGAGGCCATGCAGCTGATGTGGTGGAGCATGCGCTGCCATCGCATGACGTTTTGGTTGCAGAGGTGCTGCTGAGTGGAAAATTTGCGATGTCCGAGCCGGTTTGTGGTTCAGAAGCTCTTAACTTAGAGCAAGCCTTGACCCAGTCAATTTCACAGGGTGTTTCCATGATCAAGACCCCCGATGGACTTTCACCTGCTAAAAAATTGGTATACTTTGGACTCAGCATGCAATAGAACATGTGCTGGACCTGAATGGTTGCGTGGTTATCTACTTGTACTTCAACAAGCCCCTAACCATGTCAAAGACCTTGTGCAGATGCAGGTTGAGTCTGAGAATTTTAGGTTTGGTAACAACGGTGTGGTTTCCTTATTGCAAAGATTGCGACTTCCTGCACTCATTGGTGAAACCTTGGTTCTCATTTGGGTATCTACGATTCCAGTCAGTACTTTGGACTTTTGCAAGCGCACTATCCAGTGCTCCCACATTGCTTCTGGCATTCTGCAACTGTATCAGATGGTGGCAGGTCACTTCAGACTGGAGCTGCTGCCGAAGCTGCCCGAGCAATGGGATGCGCCAACTCAGTCATTGGGCCGTTGGCGAAAATGTGGTTAAGATGGTGTTGTTGAGTTGTGGATAACACGTCCTCAATGGGTCTAGTATAAGTTGCAACATGATCCCATGTAGTTTGTGAAGTGTTATGATCATTTGTTGACAAAATCGAGTTTGCAAGTATGTTTATGTGAACCTGAAGCGGCAAAGCTCTTGCGCGCTACTCCTCCGGGAATTTGATTTCGGCTCGAGCGTTTTTGAAGCGTGTTCGCAAGCGATCATTCCATGGAATTACCAAGCAATCGAGAAAGATGCGGAAATCGATGGATTCGCTTGATTTCCAGGCTTATTATCTGAAAACATTGTTACGATCATGATATTTTCCTATGGGTCTTAAAAAAAACGCACTTGCACTTCTTACCTTTGCCCTATCATGTGGTCAATTGCCACCGAATCTATGATGAAGTTGAAGGTCTGGCCTGCAGCCTATTTGAATAAAGGTATTAAGATAATAAACCCTTCCGTTCTTTCGGAGTGTTTTTGGCTGCGCGATCGTCTTGGATTCCATATGGCGTTTTTTGGAGGACCCCATGGTTGGCAGCATGTTGATGATCAAAGGCCTTCTAGGGCAAAAAGCAGCAGTCCACAGAGAAGCAAATAAAACATGCCCAAGAAATTGCTCAGAAGCAAGTACAAGCTGGCCAACAGAACCTTTCTATCAAAGACCTGATTGGGCCTCGCGGTGGATTACCTACCTTGAAGAAGGACTTGGTGCGGCTGGCAACACTTTTGCATCAACAGACAAGATCGAAATCTTGAAAGAAAAGATCCGTGGTTCCCTGGCGACGGTGATCAGTACTGTGAAAAATCGGAACTCTCCTTCCAAATAAACAAGGATGCTACCATGATGCCTTGGTTACCGACTCCGCCCAAAGGTTCGCCAATTATATCAAGGACAACAGTATCAGCGTCTTCCTACGGCGCAGACAGCGCCAAACTGATGGAGTTGGAGGCAAAGTTGCAGCAGACCATCGAAAACCAGGATTTCAAGTTCAAGGACATATTAACACAGATAATGGTTTTCTTCCAGACAACCTCCCAATCCATGCAAGGGTACTCGGAGGTTTGGATTTTGCCGAAGGAAGCCAATCATGGACCAATACAGATGGACAACGGGGATGTCGTCGATCAAGCAGCTCGACAGATGGGCATCACCAGAAACCAAGCCATCGAGCTGAATGCGATCCGCCTGCGAGACCTGGCAGAAGGTCAGATGAGCAAAGCACCTAACGGGATACGTTGGAAAATTGAAGGACAATATCAAGACCGGCATGAAGCAGATGGGGATTGTTATTGTTGTGACAGAATTGCAGTCTCTAAAAGCAAATTTGAAGTCTATGAGGTAATGGAAGCCATATGTGATTAGGAAATTCGAGACAGCATAAATGAAACATTTGTGTTGGAGGTGGATTTTCCTGATCCAGTCATTACCGAGGTATACACTGTTATTGAATTGAGCCGGTTGTCCGCGTTGAGAGGAGGTGAAAGCTTGACCTTCAAAACCGGCTGGAACTTTCTTTTGGAAGAATACCGCACTCAAGCGTTGAAACTGGTGCGACAACTTCGCCCTTATGTCCTGGTCATTGCATTCCCCTGTGGTCCTTGGACCTCTATCAAGATTCTCAATAGTAACGTCACGGTTGTGCCAACATCAAGGTTGAGAATATTCGAGAGGAAGTCAAAATCCTTGTGACCTTTCCGGTGGAGCTATGTCTAGTTGACCTCAGGACGACATTTCCTGCTGGAGAATCCACTGACTAGGAATGATATTTTTATAGCGCTGATCGATCAGATGTTTTTTGGAGTTTGCAGAGCGTCTGCGAGCTTCATGCAAAGGCAACCAAATTGGCCACTTCCTCTCAGGCATGGGTATCATTGGTACAAGGTCGACGATATGACGGGCAAGATCAGCATGTTCCAGTGATTGGAGGCAGCAAGGTGACTCAACCAGGGCCACTATCCCCCTGCTTTTGCGGCTGCCATCGTGCGATCCTTCCAGAACCAGTTCGACTTTGAATCAACGAGGCCATGGCAACTGAGCAGAATTAACCCTTGGCTGATGACTCTTCAGCTGACTAGCTGGCAGCTGCAATCGCTGAGGAGAAAGATTTCACCATCAACCCTGCCGTCAAAGAGACACTCTGCAGCCGGCATGAGAACACAGGCCATCCAGGTCGGCGTCGACCTGCCCGTGCTCTTTTGATTTGTGGAGCCCCCAAAGAGGCCATTCTTGCAGCCAACAGATTGCAATGCTCAGTTTGTGCTGAACAACGTGAACCCAAGCCAGGAAGACCGGCTTCCTTTTGTCAGACCCGGCAGCTTGGTGCCAAAGATAACATTGATTTGCTCTTGTTGGAACATTCCTTCCGCCAGAACTTTGTGGTTGTTTTCGTGACCGACAGCATCAGCGAGCGCCTGGAGAAGCGTTTGCAAGAGCATAAGGATGGGCGGGGCACGTTGGATATTTGTTGGACTGTGACATACTATGACTATGAACTCCAACTGATGATCATTGAACTAAGATTATGATTAAACTCGATGAAGTTCGAGCAAAACCCAACCCAAAAACCCTTGTGAATATCAGCGCAAAAATTCGATGCATTAACATCCTAGTACTCCGTAGGATGTTGGTCCTAACATGTACTTTCTTAACATATCTAAACATCTACCCACAGCCAAACAGATCCGACTATTTCAATCACCAAGTCAGCAGGATTTTTCCCGCCTGTTGACGGAAAAAAATATAAGGGAGACGATGTCTGATAACGTGGCCCATGACAAGACCAATGACATGACCCAAGACATGATCCACCGGGCCGCGTTGCTGTCACAGGATGCACTGGTGTTGGAATTGGGCATCTTGTCGTGCAATCACGCAGATAGCAAAGTATAGAATGACCTTTAGGGGGTTCACTCTATTTCGCTTTGAACTTTCAACATGAGCATCTCACGCAGGGGCATATCATTCCAAAAGCCAGTGTGTTTTCTGGGGTGTTTCATTTCACTGTAGAATCACGTTTCGATCACATTGGTGTGCATTGGTATACATTGGCATTGACCGCTTGATCGCTTTTGTTAAAATTATTTTCGCATTCGAGTTGCATTCTATAACGGAAACACTTGCTCAGAGATGTTGTTTTTATGCATGTAAAGATTTATATGAGAGTGTGACGTTTTTCTTTCGGCGAAACCCCCATTTCATTCTACAAGAGAACGAAATTGTTCATTCAGTAAACGTTTTGACCCACACTTTCATGTCATGAGGAGTTCCGGTTTGTAGAACGTGTGCCCACAGTGCTTGGGAACAGCGACTCGGTAATATCGAACAACTTTGCGTAGCCCAGGCCCCCAGCTTCAAAGAATCATCTTCTGGGCCAAACAACGTTTGAAACTGAGCCGTCCAGCTGAAACAGATTGAAGCAGTTGTTGGGGCAGTTGATTTTTGAGGCTCTTGTTTAATTTCTCGTCCGGTGCGGCCATCTGAGGCTTCGACAAGTTTGAAGCAGCCCTCGGCCTGCTTGGGAGCGCTGTGCCGCGTGTGCACCTCAAGTCAAGATCTGCTCTGCGCAGGATCTAGACTTCAGAAGATCCGATTAACTCTAGAGACTTCTAGAAGACTCTATTCTATTCTATTATATTCTATTGATGTCTTGAAACTCCTAGATCACTGCGTTTGTGATTTCTGCAGAAAAAACTTCAATTGCTCTGCTTCGAGCCGTTCCACAATGAGAAAGAGTCCTTTCCACCCGAGCCTGAGAGTTGTTGTTAGGAAGTGCAGGGCAGTCGTCCGACGAGGAGGAGCTTCAGGGGCGGCGGCCCGACGATTTCTAGCTGGTATTCCCCAAACTGGGGTCAGCATGGGTCAGCTTGAGTTTGCTGATAATTATGTACTTTTGAAACGGCTTTGATTTTGTATGTGCGAATTGTTTTCTTCGTCCCACAGTCTCACAGAGATGTTTTACGTATCATATACACATATACACACATTATATGTTTTTTTTACATTCATATAATATATATATATCAGTATATAGCTACTTGGAGCTTTATCCGTGGGGATTTGTGAAAGCACGGAACCAGACCCTTGCAGCGGAAGTCTTCAGTGATCAGACTCCTGGCTGGTGACACAGCCAAAGAGGCCAGCCAGCCTGGCCATGAAATATCAGAAAATTACTTCTGCAACAAATTATGTATTGAATGGTGGTCATGCCAGTCATAGGTCAACAAAATAAGAAGTTGCCAACTTCTTGTTTCTAAGACAACAAGTTTCATTCAATTTTTCGATCAGGCAGAGCACAGGGAAAAGCGCTTTTGGATTGGATTGAAAAAAAGCACCTTTTGATTGGCAAGAAATGCCTGTGCATAAACCCATTTTTGGGAACCACGATGCAGCGCCGCTTGCGTGAATTCAGGTTACCATGGGAATGGTTTTGACCAGATTGTAAAAGAGGGAAGGTATGAGATGGAAAGTGCTACAATGTATTCAGAATAGGTCAACTTGATGGATAGAAATTGTAATTGGTTTGTTCAATCGCCTTGGAAAGTCTTTAACCTGTGTTTTCAAAACTCTTGGGTCAGAACATCTTAGAGCCATGATAGGGGTTGTGGCCAAAACTTTCCAAAACCACGAAAAGATTCGCATATCTTTTTCCCAGTGTCTTACGAGGAAAAGTAGTTTTTTTTCCGCTTGCGGACATAGATTAAATTTAGCACACCTGAGAAGATGCAGTATACATTTTGTGGATGAGTGCGTGTGCGTGCTGTTACGTGCATTGCTTGATCGGAGTGCTCGGACATTGAACGGCAGTGTTCGGACATTGAGCAGGAGTGTTCGGGCATTGAACAGGAGTGTTCGGACATTGAACACTGTTCAATCTCGGAACACTCCTGTTCAGACACTGAAGGCCGGGCCCTGACAGTGACAACATGTGTGATTGTGTTTGTTTGATCTGAGTACCCAACAGGATCCATGGCTAACCGAAACAAAACCAATGACTCGCAATCCATCCCATTCCATCATGACCCATCAGAATCCTTCATATTCTATCATGATTCATCATGATTTTCCATTGTGGCGGTGGATGTCATGCCATGCTTTATGTGACCACGGGTGGATGGTTTTATGTGTCATTGGGCTTTCCACGGGTGGAAACCATTCGTGACCTCAGGGATGGAGTGATTGCTTCGGTCGGAAGGCTCCTGGTCCGGGTGCCGCGGGGCGCCTGGGAGCTTATCGCAACCATTCCCATATTCCATATCGTCCCCTTGCTTTGGTAATAGATCAAACGGATAGTTACTGCATCTAGAATTGAAGTAGATGACCGTCCCAATTCCAATACATCGATGATTTTTTCCTGGCCTTGAGCACATGTATGCATTCTGTAGCGTGGAGCTCATTATGGAACCATGGCCATTTCGGATAGAAACTCTAACTCGCTTAAGCCAAAAATCTGGAATCACAAATCCAGACCAACATGTTGAGATGCCGATCTCCCACACCCAGAAGTTACCCAAATTTGGAATGATGCAAACCATGACTTGAAAGAGGGAAGTCTTGAAAAATCTTGTGACTTCCGTTCAAACTTTTCTGGTTTCAGACGTTTTGGAGGTCTTCCAGGGCCTTCAGGCTTTGGTCCCAAAATTTCCAGGGCCTTCTTCTGCTCAGGGCCTGCGCGAGGGAGGTGACGGCACTGCCTTTGGCAGGTGGGGGAGCCAAACTTCGTCGCGGCCATGGATTTGGGATGATGGTAGGAAAACCAATAACTTAAACTGCAGTAGGCATCATTTGCTACCAGATTCATCTACCGTGATATTTCCATTTTTTTATCATCTTTTCAGTAGATGATCCACTGAATGAGGTTGATTTCATTGAGCCACCCACATCAGTATAAGCGCAATGACTTTCATTAACATGATACTGCGGTAGTGCAATGTAGATAATGTAGCAAACTCAACGATGAACGACAACTGATGGTAGATTCTGAAGCGTACCATGTGAATTGTAGGGCCGACGTGGGGCTTATTGTAGGTTGTATCAATTCATGGCATATACAAAGCATCATTCGTTATATATAAATCAAGTGATCATTATTACAAAAGCCAGTTAGCTGGCTACGTTGCTATTCGCGAACGAAGTGAGTATTTGCAGGTCTGGGGGGGTCTGCCAAACGGGATCCTTCTCCCGCAGTGTCAAGGGGATTAGGGTGCGTCATTAGATCGTTTTTCCGGGTTATGTACCATGCGGCAAAAGGCTGACGGTGGGGTATCTATCCGTCCCAGGTCCGTGTTTTGGTTAGTGTCAACGGTGTCAAAAGCCTAGCAAGCACGTATGGAAGGTCTATCCAACATCTAATTACCGAAACCACAGCGCAAATCGACTTGTTCACAGTCCACGAGAAACTTATCCCAAAAAGTCGAACAAAAGTCTACTTCAAATCTAGCAGAAAGTCTACCCAAAATTTACCGCAAATCTATCAAGCATCCACGAAAGACGAGACGGAAGAAGAAGAAGAAGAAGAGAGAAGATGAGGTAGACGGGAGGATAGGAGAGAAGCGGCATGAGGTGAGATCCGTATGTTTTGCTAGTGTACGGGGCACCCCAACCACGAAATCAATTTCAAAAAAAATGTGTAAAAGAACATGGAAAGTTGGGGTAAACTTACCAACAGTATATGGACCAAATTTTCGCTAAAGATGAGATGGGAGGAGAGGAGGGAAGAGGTAGGGTAAGGTGAGGATTTTGGCAAGTATGTGTCTTTGGTCAATTTCAGCGGTGCCAAAAGTCTACCAAGAAGCTACCAAAAGGTGACAAAAAATCGGCCAAAGCCGGGCAAACGTGTGCAAACAGTTTACTTTGGAAAGTCTGCCTAACATTCACCAACAGTCAAGTAAAAAAAATTACCACATGTATTCAAGATGAGACAGGAGGAGAGGAGGTATGAGGTGAGGTGAGGATTCCGACAAGTACGTGTAATTGATCAGTTTCAGGGGTGCTAGAAGTCTAGCAACGATCCTCCCGTTCCACTGCACGGTCTGCACTTCTGGGGGGCTTGCTGCGGCTCAGGTTGCTATATCTAGATTGCATAACACAAAAGTGCAATGAAACAGCAAACAGTTCAAAATCAACGCAAGGTCTGAGACTTAAGAACAAGTGGCACGGAGTGAGTAAATTCATATTTCGTGTGACAGTGGCCAGAATTCAAAATTTATGATAACTTCAGCGCTGCCAAACGTTGAGATTCACTATCTGCGACTGACCACTTCGAGTCTCACAGCCTGGTGCCGCTCAAGCGTAGCAGGGAGCCAATGTTAGCTCGGTGCACGTAGTGTGATGGGATCACAGACCAGCTAGAAAGGACAACTTCAGAATGTTGAAGTATGTCGATTTCTGGAAGTAGGTGTATGTTTGTTGTACTAATTAGTCATTAATATGGTATATGGTCTTGGATCAGGAATCAGTGATGATGGAAAGCAACAAGTTTATTAGATATTACACATCGACCATACAAGGCTATGGAAGCTGTTGGATA